TTTAAAAAAAAAAAAATGACAATGGGCCCGCATGCAACAATCTACTGGAGAATACAGACCCCTTTTGACAAAAGGCAAGGCATTTTTCTTTAACTTGCCACAGACGTATACCAACATACCAAATTTCTACTTCTAATTTTGCTGTACATTTTGTAATCTGAGTAAACTACTTGCCATTTTATGAAAATGTTGTTCAGTAAGTAAACAAACATAAAAAATCTAAATTTTACACTGCTATCCAGTGCTGTAATAAAATAAACCAAAATAGAAAAAATAAATTAAAGGATGAGGGTGGGGGTTGGAACTTAGACTTTAAGATTCCAAAGGAGGGCAGCCAGCCACGGCCTAGTGGTTAAGTTCACGCGTCTGCTTCAGTGGCCCAGGGTTTCCTGGTTCAGATCCTGGGCATAGACATGGCACCGCTCCTCAAGCCACACTGAGGTGGTGTCCCACATAGCACAACCAGAAGGACCTACAACTAGAATATACAACTATGTATTGCAGGGCTTTTGGGAGAAGGAGAGGGAAAAAAAGATTGGCAAAAGATGTTAGCTCAGGTGCCAATCTTTAAAAGGAAAAAAAAAGATTTCAAAGCAAGCCAAACCATAGAAAGCAGTTTAGAAAATGGTATATGTGTACAACATAAGGTGGACCCTGAAGGTAACTTTAAGAAAATATCAGGGGGCCAGCCCAGTGGTACAGTAGTTAAGTACCCACCTTCCCCTTCGGCAGCCCGGGGTTCGCCAGTTCAGATCCCGGGTGCGGACATGGCACTGCTTGGCACACCATGCTGCGGTAGGTGTCCCACGTATAAAGTAGAGGAAGATGGGCATGGATGTTAGCTCAGGGCCAGTCTTCCTCAGCAAAAAGAGGAGGATTGGCAGCAGATGTTAGTTCAGTGTTAATCTTCCTCAAAAAAAAAAAAATTAGAAAATATCAGCAATTTGTAAGGGAAACTGACAGACTGCAAAAGTGGTTTCCTTTATCTTGCTAAACTGTAAAGATCTTACTTTTATATAAATTCAAAATGTTTAATGGAATGACCACTTCCCAGATAATTAAAACAATTTACATATTAAAACACTTATTTCTGTAGGATATATTCTACCATTTGAAGTAGAAATCAGACCCAAAGGACGTATTACTCAACAATGAACTGCCCGGAGGTATATCACCCATGATCAATTTGGTAAAACTCAGTTTACTACACCTGAGGTTCCAGGCACAAAATGGACACTGCAGAATTTTTTTATTGGAGGAGGTGGGGAAAAAAAGCAGGATGAGTATAGGATCTGCAGTTTAAAATCAAACAAATCTTTTCACTTACAAGTTTCATGTTCAAGGTACTCTCCTAGTGCCATAAACAACAGGATCCTCCGAAGCAGTATTAGAACCGGGTAATAAGTAAAAGTCATCCAATAAATTGCAGTCTAAAAGCCCCTTAAAAAAGGAGTTCATATATTTATATTGTAGAATCCTAGACTCTTCTCTACATTACTGAAAAGTGAAAATAAATACATCTTTGAGGTAATATGGCAATCCACAGCTTTCTCAGGTCACACCGCCCCAGCCACCTCAGTACTGTGGGATGTCCATGGATTTGGGCAGCCCAGCCCATGAGGCCTCTCACAGCATCCTGAACCATCAAGGCTAACTCGAGGGTTGCTCTTAAGGATTGCAGGATGTTCACGGATTTCTGGGCGTCATTCAGTGCCCACTCTTCAAATCACATAACTTGTATATTGTCCTGGTGGGTTGACCATTTTATCTTATGAAACGTCCTTGCTATCTCTGGTAATGTCTTTTTCCTCAGTGCTTACCTGTCTGATACTCAATGAGCAATAGCCGCTTTCTTTGATTAGCATTCAAATGGTCTATCTTTTCTATTCTTTACTTTCAATATATAAATGGGCTTATAGTTAATACCTACTTCTTATAAGCAGTGTATGGCTGGTGTTCATTGTTTTTAGTCTACAAATCTTTATATGTCAATGGAGTATATAGTATAGATATATATCTTTATTGATATATTTCAATAAAAGCTATTTTCCCACCTTCTATGTATCTTTTTCTAAACTTTATTGACTCCTTTGAATTAATTATTTCTTGTAATTCAAATTTTCCCTCTTAATATTTATATTCTTTTAAAAATTTTTTAGTGGTTATCTTAAATCCTTGACTTATTAACAAGTAAAATAAATTAATGCTTTTACCCACCCCCCATACAATGTTAAGGGTTTGAACATACTTTAAATCCACTTACCTTCTCTACCAACTTATATATTGTTGTCATGTATTTGGATTCTATATAAATTTTAAATCTTAAAAGATATTATCATTGTTGTTTCATAGAATCAATATTCTTTTACAATTACCCATATATTCATTAATTCTCTTGGTCTTTGTTACTTTTGGCATCTCTTTGCTTCATTAAGGGATTATCTTCCTTCAGCCTAAAGAACACTCTTCAACGGTTTCTTTAGTGTGAATCTGCTGTGATGAATTCTCTCAATTTTACTTGATTGAAAATCTTTATTTTTTCTTCTTTTTGTTATAAGGAGAATTTCTCTTCCTGCTTTTATAATTTCCTCCTTGATTTTCGTTTCAGAAGTTTAAGTGTGGTGTTTCTAGGTGTGGCTTCCTTCTGTGGATCTTTCTTGTGGCTAATGGAACTTCTTGAGTCTATGGTATAATATCCTTTGTTTTGGAACATTCATGGTCATTATTTTTCAAATTTGGAAATTCATAGTCATTATTTCTTCACATTGTTACTTTTGCTCTATTTTCTCCTCCTGAGACTCCAATTATAGGTATGGTAGACTTTTCACCATATCCCATATAATTCTTGAAATTTTTCTGTATTTTCTATGTTTTTGTCCCTTTGGGTTCAGTCAGTTTATTTTATTTTGACCTATATTCCAGTTTACTAAATATCTCTTAAACTGTATCTAATCAGGTTTTGAATTTATCCATTGAGTTTTTTTATCAGCTTTATTGAGACATAATTCATATACCATACAATTCACCAATATAAAGTGTACAATTCAGTGACTTAGTATATTCACATAGTTGTGCATCCATCACCACAATCATTTTTAGAACATTTTCATTACCCCCTAAGGAAACCCTGCACTCCTTAGCCATCACTTCCCAACCTCCTATGTCCTCTCCCCCTAGGCAACTACTACTCTACTTCCTTTCCTATAAATTTGCCTGTTCTAGGCATTTCATATAAATGGAATCACACAATATGTGGTCTTTTATGGTTGGCTTATTTCACTTAGTATAATATTTTCAAAGTTCATCTATGTTGTACCACATATCAGTACTTGTTTTCTTTTTATTTCTAAACCATACATTGTATAAATGTAACATTTTTTTAATCCATGCATCTGTTGATGGATGCTTGGGTTGTTTTGAGTTGTTCCTCTATTGAATTTAAATTTCATTTATTATATTTTTCAGTTCTAGGATGTTAATTTGATTCCTTTTTATATTTTCTAGTTCTCTTCTTCTTGTTAATTTCTTGAACATATTAATCCATCTATAATATCTACAATATCTGGATTTTTGTTGTGGTGGTTGCTTTTCTATTGTCTGTTTCTTATTTTTTCTCTCTCTCTAGTCTTATCTTCTTGTATACTTATTTTTTAATTGAGTCTCAGACATTTTGTGTGAAAAATGGTAGAGATAATTTATGGCTCTGGATTATATTATTTTCCTTCAGAGAGAATTTACTTTGCTTCTGGAAGGCATTTAGGCTAGGGAGCTGAGCAGCTTAATCCAATCAAGCTGGATTTAAGTGTTTGTGAGGTGTGTTCTATTTCTGGTTCACCCTCTTGCCTTGGGCCTTTACCTCCCGATCCTGAAAGCCTAGGGTATTTACCAGAGTCCTTCCTCCTTGTTCATTCCCAACTTTTGACCTCTCAGTTTGAGACTGCTGAAAGCTCTGCTCTGTTTCTCAGACTCTCAGCTGCCACCTGCACTTTGAACATCAGTAATAGCCGTAAGTATAAAAGTGGCCCTAAATGCTGAGTTTACAGTTTTTGGTTTCTCTCTTCCATATCTTTGCCCCACAAATTTCATTTTCTTGGCAGGTCTCATGTCTTTAAAAAATATTTCTTTTAATATATTTTATCTAGCTTTTCTAGTTACTCTTGTCTAGAAGGTTTTTCTAAATAATCTAGCCAGTCAGTGCTGGAAGCAGAAGTCTGCCCACAAATTTGTTAAGAATCAGTTCTCTCAAGAATCTGGTGAAGGAAGCATTCTTACACGTGGCTAATTAGAGTGTAATTTAGTACATTTCTCTAAAAAGTAGTGTGTCAATTAATTCTCAGCCTTAAACAAATTATGACCTTTGACCCAGCAATTCCAATTCTGTGAACAGATCAGAAAGAAAGTACTAAGGATGCAGAAAATAGATTTATATATAAGAATATTCAGTACAATATTTAATAGAGAAAATTCGTTGTAAACTAAATATTCAATGATCAGGACAATAATTAAATTGTGGTACATCTATAAGATAGAATAATATGTGGGGATTCAAAATCATGTTTTGAAGAGTGTTTACTGATATAGGAAAATAAAATATATAAATAAAGGAGAAAATAGACTATTACACTTTTCATAGCATGATTCCAATTTTTAAAAAAGGTGTATCTTTAGGGATAAATGCTGGAAGGATGTAAAACAATTTTCAATGTACTTAACTCTGAGTGATAAAATTGAGGTTTTTTAAACAGATTCCCTTCCCTGGTTTTTTTTTTTTTGTAAAGATTGGCACCTGAGCTAACAACTGTTGCCAATCTTTTTTTTTCTGCTTCTTCTCCCCAAATCCCCCCCAATACATAGTTGTATATTTTAGTTGTGGGTCTTTCTAGTTGTGATGTGGGACACTGCCTCAGCATGGCCTAATGAGTGGTGCCATGTCCGTGCCCAAGATCCGAACTGGTGAAACCCTGGGCTGCCAGTGGAGAGCATGAACTTAACCACTCTGTCACGGGGCCGGCCCCCTCCCCTAGTTTTATTGACGTATAATTGACATACAGCATTGTGTAAGTTTAAGTTGTACAGCAAATGACTTGACTCTCATATTGTGAAATGATTACCACACGAAATTTAGTTAACATCCATTATCTCATATAGATACCAAAAAAAGATAAAAAGATAGAAAGAAAGAGAAAACGTCTTTTTTTTCCTTGCAATAGTAGCTCTGAGGATCGACTCTCTTAACAACTTTTAAATATACCATACAGCGATGTGAACTATAGCCATCATGTTGTACCTTACATCTCAAGAGTTGTTGTGTATTTTATTTTCTTCTTTATATGTTGTTGTACTTTCAAAAATTTTTTGTATTAAGTTTATATATTTTTCTAATCAAGAAGAAGGGTCACAAATAAATAATCCCAAAGCTCACCTTTAATCCAGTGGATTATGTAAACCATTCGTTTGACACAAAGTGTTTGGCAAGCTAGTGATTCTTTACATTTTTATAGATTTTGTTCCTGTATTTCACAGTAAGAAATTAAGACAAAGAATCTTGGAGGAAAGCATATGGGAGGTTGCTGGCGAGGTGATGCTGAGCATCCTTGGATGTTCTAGGGAGCGGTCTGCTCTATGCACCTAGTTGTCTTTTCAATGGTTGATGAAGGTTTCAGCTCTTGCAGCCGTGGTGGTCTTCAGTGTTTCATTAACTGAATCAATTCTTCTTTATCTACACATGTAGGATAGATTTTAAAAAGTCTTTTTCATTGTGAAAGAAATATATCCAACCAGATTGTATTAACTAAAAATTTTGTTTTAAAAGCATCTGAGTAGTAACAGGGGAATTCTCTTCTTGAAATTTCTAATTGGCTTTCATAAGAACCAATGTTTTTCCCCTGTTCTTGACACAGCAGGTCATTTGTGGAGGGACCTTATCTTCAAAGAGAAAGGTTGAAGGGGGCGGTTTGGTTACTTGACTGGTTACACAGCATCTCCACATGGGATGTTTTATGTCACCTTCTTTTTTTTTTTAAAAGATTGGCACCTGAGCTAACATCTGTTGCCCATCTTTTTTTTTTTTCTTATTCTTCTTCTCCCCAAAGCCCCTCAGTACATAGTCGTATATTCTAGTTATGGGTCCTTCTGGTTGTGCTATGTGGGACACTGCTTCAGCATGGCCTGATGAGTGGTGCCATGTCTGCGCTCAGGATCTGAACCAGTGAAACCCCAGGCTGCCGAAGCAGAGGGCATGAACTTAACCACTCGGCCATGAGACCAGCCCCTTCACTTTCTTGAATTAATATTTTACTGTCTTCTCATATCTGATGCCTTAGTCTATTTGGGCTGCTATAACAAAAATACCACAGACTGAGAGGCTTAAACAACAAAAATTTCTTTCTCACAGCTCTTGGGGCTGGAAGTCCAAGGTCAAGGTGCTGACATCTCTGGCGTCTGGTGAGAACTTCCTTCCTGGTTCTTGGACAGCTGTCTTCTTGCTATAACTTCACATGGCAGAAGGGGCAAGGGAGGTCTCTTTTATAAGCTTCACCCTCATGACGTAATCACCTCCCAAAGGCCCCACCTCCTAATACCCTCACATTGGGGGTTAGGATTTTAACATATGAATTTTTTGGAGACACAAACATTCAGTCTATAGCATCTGAGTTCTGTTTTTTTTCAAATGTTGATGAATTAGTCTTTGCTCCACCCCATCACCCCTCTTTCATCCCTAGCTTAGTTTCAGAAAACTGGTGAACTTATTTTACGTATTGCTTCAGATATGGATGGTTTGGGAAGTTTCCAAAGTTTTTCATTGCTCATCTTGGCTAAAAATTTTCCTGATCTCCCCAGGACCCTGGATTCTGTCCTAATTCAATGAAAGGGCCTGTTTTCATATTTAAACTCTGGCCTGTAAGAGTAAGGCCTTGATACAGCTAGGGGGTCTACTACCCGAAACTGTCACTGAAAAGCATATTTCAATTTCATTTAAGAGCTTTTTTTATGTGTATTTTCCCCCCAAAGCACCTTAGCTGAAAATCAAATTTTACTTTAGACCTTTGTACAGACCAATATCTCTTTCTTGCTTCCTGTATACCAATAAAATTGTGTAGTTCAGTTTAACCTCAAATCTGCCTGTGTTTAAAATATAAAGCTAAGGTTAACGGCTTTCACTGCTAGCTGCTACCTGGACATCTCAATTTCTAGATAAAATCCTTTACAGAGAAAGTTTTATTGGCCCCACAGCTCAACCCCACCATATATACCAGTTTATCCTATTAATCTTTAGCTGCAAAAATATCACAATCATTTATGAGCTAAAGTTTGTTTTAGCTTTTGGATTTTCTGAGCCTTTCCATGTTATTTCGGTTAGCTTGGTTGCTGGGGCTGCCTTTTCTCTCACCCTCACCCTTGTCCTTATTTCTAGGTTGGGGAGGAGACTCTCAGACTGCAAGGACAAAGAGGCTTGGGACTGGCCCCCTGCTGTAGCTGGCCATCTCCTGCTGGTCCCTTGGCCTGCCTTGGTATCTCAGTAGAAAAAGGGCGTGAGGCCTGCAGGGAAGGAGAGGGCCTCCCTGGCCATTTCTGGCTGGGCTCTAATCCATCCTCCTTTGTGGTCAGAGGGTCTCTCCTCTTAGCCTCAGAGGACTAACCTGGGCTGCCTTCTATTGCTAGGTTAGAGATTGGGAGTTCTGTGTTTGGGTGGCTTTCCTCTTTGGGTGGGGGGGACACAAGATGCCCCCATCACTGTGTTGTTCTTCAGGTCCTGGGATTCCCAACCAGCCCACCTTCTTACTACCTGTTGCTCTCCTTTGATGCCTCTTGTGCCATTTCCAGGTTTTTAAACTGTGCTTAATGGGGAGGAGTCAGGAGAACCCATGTATGTTACCTTGTCCGAACCAGTTGTTTTTAGCTGTACAAACGGTGTCTTTTCTTCATTCTTCTTTTCTTATTTATAAAATGGCAACTACATTCAGAGACGGTGTGTAGTTTTCATTCCAGAAGAGTTCCAGGACTTGTTCTGTGCTCATACGCAAAAGCAGTGATTGGGTTGAAATGCTACAGAACCCATTAAATATTGCCTGGACCAGTTTTCCAAATGGGACTCAGGATGTCTTAGGACTGGGTTCCAGACTTCACATTCAACACTCAGACTTCAACATCATACTCAGACTAGCTGGGCAAAAATGCATAAGCCTGTTGGAATTAGGGGCTGGGGAACCAGTACCATGTACTTTCTGCCCTTTCATGGGAAATAGGGAAACAGGCTGACTGCTGAGTCAGGGATCTTTATTGCCTGGAAGATTTTGCCTCACCTGGGTTCTTGCCTCCCAACAGAAACTGGCTGTGTCTGGAATTTTATTTACCAAAGCAGGGATCTCGAGTTAATCCTGGACGTCACAACCACTGGGCTTCAGGAATGTCTAGTAGCACCTGAAGAACTGATAGAGCAGAACTAATAGCCTGAGGTGTCTCCTGGGAAAGAACTTAAGCCACATGCCCTATTGGAGTTCGAACACAGGCTTGTATTTTTCTTGCCTCTTCTCTTTCCTTCACATCCATATCTAACCCACCAACAAGTCTTGTCAACACCACCTTCTAATAGATCCAGAATCCGACAGCTTCTCATTGTCTCCATTACTGCCTCCCCAGCAAACCGCCATCAACTCTCAGTGCACTGGCCACTCACTGATATCCCCTCCACTCTAGCTCCTCTACCACAGAAATGCAAGTCAGATGATGAAACTCTTCTGTTTAAATCCCTTCAACGTTTTTCCTCTTATTCAGGTAAAATTCAAACTTCTTCAATGGCCAAAGTTCCTCAGTGGTTCTTCAAGTGCTCTCCATCATCCAGCCCTGACACTTCACCGACCTCATTTCCTCTTCTCTCCTCCTTGCTCATTCCTCTCCAGCAATGTCAGGGCTCAAACATGCCAAGCATTCTCCCACCTCAGCACCCTTACTCTGAGAATCCCCTCTTCCTGCAATGCTCTCCCCCTACATATCTGCGTGGCTCATTCTAATGGCTCAAATGGGCTCCTGTCGGACAGGTCATTATTGACCACTGTATGTGTAATACTCTCTTCCCTCCTGGGTTGCTCTTAATCTATCCTTACTCTGCTCTGTTTTTTCATAGCACTTGGCATCACCTGACATAGATATGTGTTTGTTTGTCTCTTTACCCCTTATGAAAATGCAATCTCTGTAAGAGATAGAACTTTGATGTATTCCTTCTGTGTTCCAGAACTTAGAACAGAGCTTGGCATGTCATAGACATTCACTGTTTAACGAATAAATGAAGAAGTGAATGAATGCAGATGACCTTGTATATCTCTTAAAGGAAAAACTGGGAAGCCTGCTACAAGAACTTGTCATAAAGAAATAAAGCCTGTGAGAGTTTTAACCAATAGCTAAGAAGGATAATGCTAGAGATTGAGTGATAGCTATGTTTAGGCCCAATACCCATTGGACACATGTCTGGTCTTTGGAAAACAGTAACATTGTAAACAAAACCAGAAAGATCCATTTCCCTGGACTGTAAAATATGGGTGTCAAAACAACACTGCCATGGGGCTGTTGAACAGAGAGAATTGTTTCTCCTCTTTTGCCATGTGTTAATTTCCTATTTCTGTGTAACACGTTATAAACACTTAGCAGCTTAAAACAACACTCAGTCATTATCTCATAGCTCTCTAGGTCAGAAGTCCAGACGGGCTTGGCTGGGTTCTCTGCTCAGGGTCTCACAAGCTAAAGTCAAGGTATCAGTCAGACTGTACTCTTATCTGCAGGTTCTGGGGAAGAATCCACTTCCAAGCTCATTGAGGTTGTTAACAGAATTTAGTTCCTGTGGGTGAAGGACTGAGGTCCTTATTTTCTTTCTGGCCGTCAGCCAGGGGCCACTTTCCACTTCTAGAGGGTAACTGCATTTCTCCCCTTATTGCCCCTCCATCTTCAAGTCAGCAATATATATGAAATTCTGCTTGTGCTTCATATCTCTCTGACCTCTCCCTCTGCCATGAGCTGAAGAAAATTCTTTGCTTTTAAAGGGTTCATTAGGTTTGAGTTAAGCACACCTGGATAATCTTTCCTCTGCCATATGATGCAGCATAATACAGCAGCGCTGTCTCATCATGTTCATGGATTCCACCCACCTTCAAAAGGGAAGGGCCACAAAGGTGAGGGTCATGACGGGTCGTTCCTAAAATTCTGCCTAATATGCTCATTTCACTGTGCATCACAGCACAACTTGGCACTGAGAGGGTTCCTGGCATTGTAAGTGATACCTGAGGGGAAGCAGTGGTAGCCACTGCATCTGCGGGACAAATAGTGGGACTGGGGAGGACTCGTTAGCCCTGGGGCATTCTGGAGGGAAATGGGAGACTTCTGGAAGTGGCAGTACCTTTTAAGCCTGGTAGTCCAGTGACACTAGAAAGAATAGACATGTTTATGGACCCACGAGAGCTACGCTGTAGAGATCTTTAGAAAGACTTGAGAAGTGAAGAATTTCCAAAGGGCAGGTGATTATGCAGCAGCAGATGGGGGCCACAAACTTGCTGAATATGAGTTATTACAGTTTAGGTGACTATGTTTGCATGCATAGGGTAGTGAGGACTGGAAAAATTTCCCCCTGGTCAGAGCAGATGTTAGTAACTTAATCTGATGAGGTCTTGAAGATCTGATCTATGACCTTCCATGGCCTTCTTTCAATTTCAAGATTGTAACCTAGTGAGTAGCTAAGCTAGAATTCAGCGTTAGGCTGTAAGCTCAAGAGCCAATGAATTCTCTTAAGCACTCTGCCGGGAATGGGAAATGTGTGGCACACTTGCTCTGACTCACTACTCCCATGCCCCATCATTGGTTGACCATACAAACCTTCTTGCAGAGACCTGCATAGCCTCAATCATCAAGACTGTGCTCCCGACCAACATTGGCAATTAAGTGAGTTAAATCCAGGATAGAACTTATCTCCCATCCCTGGACTACACTATACCTCAAATTCCAGCAATCCCAGAAACAGAAAGATTTCTGCCTACTTCTTATTCTAGCTGAAAGATTGCATATTGTAAATGGTAGAGGAACACTTTACTCCCTCTATTGTGTATCATTAGTTGAAGCTGACTAGAGACTGGGAAGTGAATAGAATTGAAATCTTTTATACATTTTTTTAGGGCTATTACTCAAACTTGTATAAATTATGGGATTCTTTTCTCCTAGCATTCCCCTTTTCTAATGAATGGGAAAGGAATTAAAATGATTAAATAGCAGGAATATAGACCCTGAAAAGATACAGTTAAAGCCATTTATCCTATTTAGCTTTCTTAGAGGGAACTGACGATGTTAACATTCAGAGGTTGTCCTCTGTTCCCACAGAGAAGCAGGGAAGCCTTAGGAGAGCCGTTAGGAAGCTTAAGGTAATGGAAGTTACTAGAAGCTATGTAATCTGTTGGCAAGAGAGGCAGAAGGGTCTCTTGGTGGGGCAGCAGCTCTGTTTGGAGCTGAGAGGTAGAGAAGGGACTATTGGAGCCTTGTGTAGTCCTGTGGTTTGGAACTCGAAGGTTAACTTCTTTATATTGGCATCTCTACGTGGGTCTACATAGTGCAGCCAGCTCACACACTAGAGATCAGATATTTCTTTCCAGATATTTCTAAATTAAACTGAGACAAAGAGAAAAACCATGACTCAGTCTAAAAGACAAGAACTTGGCCTTAACTTGGCCTTCTAGAGCCCAGTGATCTAACTCCTCCCTACTCTCCATCACTTCTCATGATCTGAGTGGGAGCCATGATGGCCGCAGGGCCCTCTGTGGGACTTTTTTCTCTTCCTGGTCTGCTCTTTCTTACCTCTTTGTTGGCTAACTCCTATTCTGCCCTCAGATCTCAACTTAAGTGTCATGCCCTGCAGACCTGATCAGATGCCCCAGTTATGCACCTGCCTAGTCCTGTACTAAAGTTCAGTCACACCTGTGGTTATTATTTATTGATGCTTACTAAATAATTAATTAATTGTGTAGTTCTCTGTTTAATGAGATTGTAAGTTCCTTGAGGGCAGGGCTTAACTCTTTCTTCTTCACTGCTATAGCTGGAAAGCTTGGCTCAATATTTAAACTCAGGGAGGGGCTCAGTAAATATGTGTTGAATGAATGATTGAAAGAACCAAAAATTAGGACATGACCTTTGGAGCACTAGCTATGATAAAATCATGCAGCTGGTGGGTTTTATTTTTATTTTATTTATTTATTTTTTTTTTGAGGAAGATTAGCCCTGAGCTAACATCTGCCACCAATCATCCTCTTTTTGCTGGGGAACATTGGCCCTGAGTTAACATCTGTGCCCATCCTCCTCCATTTTATATGTGGGATGCCTGCCATGGCTTGATAAGCAGTGTGTAGGTCTGCACCCAGGATCCAAACTGGTGAACCCCAGGCTGCTGAAGAGGAGTGCGAGAACTTACCTGCTTTGCCACCAGGCCAGCGCCAGGTGGGTTTTATTTTTAGTACACTTTCTCCCTCTTGTAGCATCTCTCCTCCTGCAAACACCCATGAATTCTGGGCTCATGTGCGTGCACAGGTTTTAGCTCTCAGTTGGCTGTTAGGTATTTCCACAGTTAAGGAACTGAGCTGACAATAACAAGGGCTATTTTAAGCTATTTTTGGAGAATCTTAAACAACCAGACATCTCTAAGTTCCAGCTGCTCGGAAGATTCTAAATTGGTAAGCATGGTGGTGATCTAGGAAATGTCATATGCTAGAAGGAGTTTCTCCTCAGACTGCTAAAGGAAACTCCCAAGTCAGGTCACATGGCACATGGGAGTAGGTGGGAGGGAATTTTTGTGTGGTGGTGTTAGTGGTGGGGAGGGGGTGGATCAGATGGACTCTTTTTGCTTGTAACAGGAAATTGTGATAGGTGACAATGCTTGACAAGACATCTGGCATTTGTGTTAAGCCTCCAGCAATGATATGCCTCAATAATATGTGCCTTACAGGCAAGGGCTCTGCTTGCTTGGGGAATTGGTGATTGGTTGGTTGGTTGGGTAGTTGGTTAATTGGTTGTTTGTTTTCCTCTGGTCAAGGTTTGACTTTCTAATTGACTAACAAAATTGTGGGACCTCCTTTGCCTGAAATGGGTCTTTCTGGTCAGAATTAATCACAGGTGCCTTGGTGCTCGGAGAGCAGTTGGTAGACATTTTATTTCATTCTATTCTGTCCCCAACAGACAGCAGGCCACTGAGAACAGGACACTGGTCACCCAGATCCGTGTCCAGAGCCTCAGCCACAGTGCCTCACAAGTCAGTCCTCAAGACAGGTATGTTGATTCCAACTGAATCAAGTGTATAGAGTAGTCACTTGGCCTAGCCTCTCCATCACTACGGAGCATTGACAGCCCGTGGAGAAATAAGTTGAAACCGTCTGGCTTCCCTTCTTTCTTATTCGTGACTTTCTTCCCTTCCCTCCCTCTGCCTTCCCTTCCCTTCCCTTCTTTCTTTGTCCTTCCCGCTCAGTCTCTTTCTCTGTCTCAGTTTCTGTTTCTCTCTTTGCAATTCTTTTTATCCTTTTCTGTTTCTCTCTTCTCTTCCTCTCTTCTTTGTGCCATGTAAGGGTTTGTAGGTTGTTAACTGCACAAGGATACCTTGCCAAGAAGAACAATGAGGGTGGAAATCCAGCCTGCGCTCTGTTTATTGACACATAAGTGCTGGCATGGGGTTTTGTCTGCCCAGAGGAGCATCTTTTTCTAATTTACGCAAAAGCATTTTGGGGGCTAACAGCAGCCCTTTCCTTTCCTAGAATGTTCCCATAGGAAGCAGTCATTTTGTATTTCTCTCCTGACCCAGACTTCCTCTGAATCTCGATAGGAGCCTCATTGCCCTCCTTCTCCCACCGCTGACCAAACCCAGGCAGGCTAGAATTGCATTTGTCTCAGAAACATATCATTAAAGAAGTGTTTCTACACTCTTCTAGTCCTTTCATCTTTTTTCCGGTGATCCTTTATTTTTTGGGTGGTTCTTTTGAGTAGAAAGCTAACCTTCCCATCATTTGCCTTAGATGTTTAACACTCATTTTCTCTTCTCAATTGTCTATGTAACTAAACCCTCCTAAGCTCTTGTTGATCCATTGGCAGTGGCGGTGTTTATTTAACAGTCCTGTTTGTTCCACAATCTCTGACCAGAAATACTGAGGAGGGCATATCTTTGCTTCGGCAAGCTCTGCACAGTCAGAGAACCATGGATGTGGAAGTTCAAGTTCTTGGAATGCTCTTGAGATTAAGGTTCATTTCTAATTTTCCCTTGTATCTGTAGTGCCTGGCACATTGCTTGACGTATACCAGGCATTCATCAAGACTGGTGAATGCCTCAGTGAGGAAGGGCATGAATAAACCCTCCTCTACCCACAGGCTGCCTAGGAGACTCATCCTGGTGATGAAAGTAGCCGTTACAAATCCCCGTCAAGGTGGGCACAGTGACCCTCACTTTCAGCTGACCGGGGCTACAGTCAGATGATACCTGGCTTAGGCTCTTGTGAGATGCAAGAAACAGGATCAAGCAAAGGTTAAGCCAGTTAAAAAACATAAAGTATGTGGGGAAAGCCAGGGAAGCCAGAGACCAGCTCAGTAGCCATAGAGCAAGGCCTCATGCTAGGTCACTAAGTTAGGAGTGATTGCTCCTTGATCTAGTGTTCTACCACTGTGGTGACAGCGATTTTGGTCTGCCTCTGCTGTTCCCATTGACTGACTTCTTGCTCTCCTCCAACCTCGCAGTTTCTGCTTGGTGCCTCGTCTTGGAGAGTCTCTCAGCGTCTGGAATCCCTTCTTTCTGATTGGCTCTTTCTGTACATCCCCTCATCCAGCTTTTCTAGAGGGGCTCTAACTGGGTCGGTGGGCTACATCCAGCAGAGGTCCCTCTGCAGTGTGCAGAGCACTTGTGCCATGCTGCCTCAGGGACAGCGCCATATGTAGATATGGATATGTGTATTGGGAAACCCCTCAGACAGACTCAGGGGGCAGGCATTCGAGGCTTCCCAGAAATGGTTCTAGTGCATGGCCTACCTGCCTGGTGAGGATTGCTGCTGTCTCATGATTGTCAAACCAGAAATGTCATATCCCATTCAGTACTGACCCATTTAGTGCAACTTGCCCCAGGAATACTTTTACAGTATTCATTTACAAATCCAGTATGGCATTGAACAGCAGTCAGTAAAAGAACAATGGGACAGGTCAACCAGGAGAGGGAGCACCATCGAAGCTCTTGCCACTAGGCCATCGCAGGTCATGGAGACCTAGCTTTCCTTGGTTCACAGTCACTTTTACTTGGCTGTGATTTCTCTTTGCGTCTTTGTCTCAAAGTGGCTGACACAAGGTGTTAGAGGTTCCTCAAAAGTGCCAAGGGAGAGGACCACACTGGTGTGTTTTACTGAAGTTTGACTCTTCTTCAAAAACGTGGTTCAGAAAGCAGAATTAGGCCATTAGGGATTGGCAGAAATCCTGTGACATTATGAAAAAATGGCATAATAAAGCTCACTGAAGCCTGGGAGGGCTGACTAAAGATTCTATGGAATGGGAAGAAATGACGGAGCTTGCCAAGCTTCAGGGGATTTGATGAGAACAATCACCATCTCTTTAAGTATGATGCTGTAACGGTCATAACGGTTCGGTTGGTGCTCTCATTTTGGGGAATGTGTTATCTTCACCATGCCCTGCCCCCGTGCTATTTCCCAATGAACACAAGACAATAACCAGGAGAAGAGCCGCAGTCTTTCTCCCATCCTCACACAACTGGCGCTCACTGGGATTTTCTCTGCTAATGTGAGGAATAAACAGGCTGAACCTGTTCTCTTGTCCACAGTGAGTGTCACCACGAGGCCAGACACCAGTTCCCTTTTTGGAGACTTGGCAGCTAGCCCAAGCCTCTTGCCTGGGATTTGGCGGGGGGGGGCGGGGGGTGGGAGCGGAGGGGTGGTAATTAAGGAGATGCTGCCCAGGTCATTGTCCTTGTCCTTCTTGATCTCTCCCTTTAAGCAACAGACTCAGTCACTGACGCCATCAATCTAGCACATTTTATAAACAGTAAATTCATTTTAAAAACCTGCCGCTGAGCAGCCATCTGTCTCCATTTTTGTCAATCTGCTATTATAACAATGCAACTGTACTACGAGTTCGTCTTTCACTAAAAACTCCTTCATCTGAAGGCGAACATGTTGAACATGGAGATAAGAGCTATGGCCAACTGACAGCATTTCCACCCACTAGCCTTTCATCACTGGGGCCTGGAATTTAAATCTTGTTTTTGACCTAAGGTGATGATATTGATGGTTTCTGTATTTTGCTGTGCTTGATTTATATACTTTGAGATTACAGAGTGTTCCCACATCCTGATTTATTACTTATTAGGTAGGAAAAAGGCAGACAAGTGTTATTACCACTGAGCAAGCAAAACAAGTTGGTGGGTAAACTGAGGCGCAGAATACTTAAGTGCCCAAGGTCAGATAGCAAAGGAGGAGAAATTGGAATGTATCTTGGAGCTATGATCTCTCTCCTGAACAACTGAGTCATCTCCCTTTATATTTTGTTTTTTTTTGTACCATTCAAGAATTTCACAAAAGCACTACACATGGACACTATGCTCTCCAGAGGCCAGTCTGAACATAGCAAAGAGAATTGGAACTAGCTCTGAGCTGAGTTGTAAGAAGAAGCTGACACCTGGATCCCCAGCCAGCTTTTAATACATAACATCCTACAGTGTATTCTCCTTGCAGCGCTTAGAACCTCTTGCCACTAATCTTTTTTATTAGGGGGAAAACATATTAAACAAAACCAAAAAACCTCAACAACATAAAATCTCTGAAACCAGGCCAAGGATGCAGACAGCACCAGAAGGGATTGTAGGCAGTGGAAACTCCTCTTGCAAAGGAAGCTTGTTAACTTATGCTCAGTCGCCACATGCTTGTCTCTAGATAGAACCATTTGCAAGAGTTTGGAGTGTCTTTTTCTGTGCTTACCATTAATGAATACCCTTGAAAGTCATTTTGGATGATAGGAGAAGAGTTTAGGTGGGAAGCAGGTTTTCAGAGCTCTTGAAAATTCCATTATTTCCATGACTGTGGCACACCTTATCTGTTAACATGGAGACTTATCTAAAACAAGTCAGATCTAATCTGTAAGCATGGATTTCAAGGAAGGAAGCCATCCCATTGTGCTCATTCCTGTGGTGTCCTGGCCTGTTATCACTTGCATCACTCCCCTCCACCTTCCTGAGGAACATGCTCGGCCTTGACACGTTCCC